GAACCTTGTCATTGAAAAAATTAGCAAACTCATTGCATTTACGTTTGGAAGTAAGCTCTAATGGCATTTGAACAGGGGGGTTTGTTAATCTATTAACTGTTGAGAACAGAACACGCAGATTGTTGCTGCAGCCTTCAATCATTTCAGAAAAATACCTTTCTCTCGTACTACGTAGCACCCGGTTAAACTCGCACAACTTGTCTTTGAAGATCTCGTAATCTACCTGGAGGTTGGACTTGCGCCACTTCCGCTCGGCCCTCCGGCACTTTCTCTTTTGTGCCCTGACCGAGTCTGCTTTAGCCCACGGCGCCTTCTGCTTATTTTTCACTATTTTAACCTTCACAGGGGCAACGGTATCCAGAACATTCAAAACACTAGAGGTGACAGAGTTAAACAGTTCATCTACAGTAGAATACGATGCATTCTCAAAGTTTATCATTTCCATAAATAGTTCACTCGTATTTTCATTTATGCGCCTTCTTCGAACAGTTGCAGAGTCCACTGGTGGTTTGTTAGTGAAACACATGTCAAAAAAAACACAGAAATGATCCGAAAGAGCAACATCGACCACGTTTACATTTGAAATAATCACCCCCTTTGTAACTAACAGATCTAGAGTGTGCCCTCTGCTGTGGGTGGGGCCACTTACGTGCTGAGTGAGATCAAAGGATTCAGAAGTACAGAACTCAGCTCATTTGCATTTCTGTCATCAACATTATCCACATGAATATTAAAATCACCTGTAATAACCAAACTATCAAAATCTGTGCATACAACTGAAAGCAACTCGGTAAAATGATCAATAAAACTGTGACATGACTGCGGTGGCTTGTATAGGACAACGAAGAGTATTGGAGGAGATTGTTTTTGTTGTATTTTAAAAGACACATATTCAAATGACAAACTTCCCAAGAGACATTCTATGGGAGACAAAGTGGTCTCTAAAAATGGCAGCTAAGCCTCCTCCTTTTTTGTTTTCCCGTATTTCAGATTCAAACTTGAAATTTGGTGGTGATGCTTCTATTAAAACTGCATTTTCTGAATTTTGGTCAAGCCAAGTTTCAGCCATGAACATAAGATCAAGATTATAAGAACAAATAAAATTATTGATTAAAAAAGACTTGTTACAAAGAGATCTGACATTAAGCGTAGCAAGTTTCAAAGTTTCAGTATCAGCGGTTGCGGTCGGCTGATTCTTACACGGAACAAGAATTAGATTTTCCAGATTAGACTGATTAACTCCAGATGTTTTTCTGTAATGTATTCTTTGTGTTATCACTAAGGGAATGGCACAGGTGGCTTCATGACAGGGCCCCAGCCGGGTCTCTCCTCTAACTAGACTGCCAGTGGCTGCGAAGCAGAGACCCTGTGCATCCTAGTGTTTAGAGAAAAGAGGGGTAGGGGAAGGCGGGGGAGGAGGATGGAGAGGTGGGTGGCTTTTGGGTGTTGAACGAGGGGGGCAGGGAGGTGGATGGGTTTTTGGTGATGGGTTAGGGGAGGAGCAGGCTGAGTTGGGTGGTGGACGAGGGGGGAGTGGAGGTGGAGGGTTTCTTGGTGCTGAGTTAGGGGGGAGGTGGGCTAAATGAGCAGGAGGGGGGGGTGGAATACTTATGGGGTTAGAGGAGGGACGGGTGGATTTTGTGGGAGAATTTGAGTTGGACGCCCTAGGTGGCTTTGGAGGTACGTATGGGGAGTAGTTTTGAATGTTAGATAGGACTCTTGATCTGGCTACAGTGGGTGTGAGAGGAATAGTCTTCATCGCCGATCTTATCATGCCTGCAGAGTGTTCCGGTAAATCCAGTAGTGAAGGCGGGGATAGAAAACAAAGGGAAAGGTCGTCCTCATTTTCCCTAGATGGAGTGGATGTAGCGGGGGGGACCCAAGCCGGGTCCATGGAAGGTGATGAGGGAGTCTTTGGTGGAGACAGAGGTGGTTGAGGAACCCCCAGTACAGGCCTGACTGTAGCCTGGAGTAATGGGGGAAGCTTCACGGGAGCTGTAGGTGGGGAAGGTGCTGCTGAAGATGACGGAGCAGCCACTGCTGCTGCTGAAGATGACGGAGCAGCCACTGCTGCTGCTGTATCCACTGCTGCTGGTGAAGATGATGGAGCAGCCACTGCTGCTGCTGAAGATGATGGAGCAGCCACTGCTGCGGCTGTATCCACTGCTGCTGCTGAAGATGATGGAGCAGCCACTGCTGCTGCTGTATCCACTGCTGCTGCTGAAGATGATGGAGCAGCCACTGCTGCGGCTGTATCCACTGCTGCTGGTGGTGCTGTATATGCTGATGGCGCTGATGAAGATGTGGCAGCTGCTGATGATGCTGGGGGTGGAGGCGTTGAGCTCTTTCGAAGCCGTGGAGGTGTTGAGTTCTTTTGGAACCTTGGAGGTGTTGAGTTCTTCATGAATCGTGGAGGTGTGGAGTTCTTTTGAGGCGGTGGGGGTGCAGAGACCTCGGGAGTCGGTGGAGATGGTCGTGATGTCTGTGCCCTTTGCTTCTTCTTTCTCCCTTTCAACGGCTGCACGCGCTGCGCAGGCTGAGGTCTTAGGGCAGATGCAAAGTTATCCATCAGCACTTTTACTCCGTAGTTGTTCAGATGTGGGCCTTTTTCCTCAAAAAGCTCGTGCCTATTCCAGAACAGATTAAAGTTTTCAATGAAGCCAAGTCCTCTGCGTGAACACTCATTGAGTAGGAATGTGTTTAGCTGATACAGACGGCTAAACTTCTCCATTTTTCCATCTATATTTGGCAGTGGGCCACTAAGAAAAATTGTTATGTCCATTTTCTTGAGGTCATCCAGTAACAGCGTTAAATCCATTCGTAACTTCTCGCTTGCCTTCTCATAGATATCTACCGCCCCCGTGTGGATCAATAATGTACGCACACCACTGTTCTCAGATAACACTTTAGGCAGGAGAGTCCTTATCTCAGCAACTTTAGCAGAGTGAACTGAGATAGTGAGCATGGACTCCATGTTTACATTTTTCACCGAGCCATCTCCGATAAGGACACAGTTTGTCCTTGGTGGAGGCGCTGCAGTTTTTAGCAGCTTTGTTGTAGAGACTACTGCTGATTCATCTTCCAAAAGTGGTGAAAAGCGGTTTCTTGTAATTAAAGATTTTTGCTGTGGCATTATGACACTCTTGTTATCATTAGCTTTGCCTTGTTTGGGCTTGGCACCATATGTGTTCCAACAATTGTCTCTGTTGATTTTGGGAAATGAAATAGCGTCATCATAACTTACGTTCTGTCCATGTGGTCCATTTCCTTTCACTGGTATTGTTGTGTTCAGCCCCAATTCTGATTCAAGCACAAACATTCGGTCTTGAAGTTTTAGCTCCTGTTTGAGTGAAAAACAGCCGTCGCAAAGTTTTGTTCTTTCCCGTCCTCCCGACATGCTGTAAGTTAGGTAAATTCCACAAGTCTTGTGTTGAAGTTTGTAAAAAGGAGTAATCCGTGTTTTGTGGAATAAAAATGTAAGCAAAAATGATTAAAGGAGATAAAAAAGCAGCAAGCGAGGAGCAGCAAGAGAATGCGACTGCTCTGTTTAGCTGTTTGAGGGTCTTGTGTCACCGTGACCGCTCCGTGCGGCTCTGTGGCGCACATGCTTCCCGAGGAAAAAGTTAATCTCTTGCTTTGGCCGAATACATGGTGTCTGTCCACTGCCTCTGCCGCCGCACATGTTATTCCGCGCACGTACGTGCACAACCATTGACACGGCATTGAAACACGAGCTATAGATTCATGGACGCTACGCATGCTGCGGTTGTTGGTGTTTTTGCATTTCCCAGAAAGTTTTGCGGTTCCTGCTCGGCTGTTATTGGTCGAGAAGCCTCTGCCTACATCCCCCACAATGCCATGCGCTTATGAGTCGGCTTTACTTCCAGTGTTTTCTTCCTGTTTTTCCTGACGGAGTTAAGTTAAACTATCAAACAGTCTATCGACCCCATTGTCTATTGATATTGAACACATGTCTATCGCGATATATATCGTTATTGTTTTATCGCCCAGCCCTAGATGTAGTAAACCTGTGATCAGCAGGAGCCAGAGTGTTGTGATTCCAGAACAGTCTGTGTTTAACTGAATGTAAACTGTTTAGAACCATGTTTGCTTTTCCAAGTGGAAGAATGCGACCCTCAGCTCTCCCTCAAGACACACTGGGCTTCCTCTGGTGTCAGTGAGAGACCAGAGAGAGAGACCAGAGAGAGAGAGACCAGAGAGAGAGAGACCAGAGAGAGAGAGACCAGAGAGAGAGAGACCAGAGAGAGAGAGACCAGAGAGAGAGAGACCAGAGAGAGAGAGACCAGAGAGAGAGACCAGAGAGAGAGACCAGAGAGAGAGACCAGAGAGAGAGACCAGAGAGAGGAGCGCAATCCCGATCGGAACATGGCCTTTTGAGTGGAGTTTGCTTGTTCTCCCTGTGTCTGTGTAGGTTTCCTCCGGGAGCTCCACTACCACTAAAAACATGTACAATAGTTCAGGGTGAATGAGTGTGTGTTTGTGAGTGCGACTGTGGAACGACAGATGGAAATGAACCCAACGCTACAATCCGGAGAGATGTGTTCATGAACATGTACTGTCCCAACCAAATAAACAATAAAGATAAATGGAAAACAAGGCACTTATTTTTTTATTTATCTTTATTGTGTTTAAAAGTGATAGATTCAAAACTCTCTTTAGTCTCTCTCTTTCTCTGGTCCCTTTCTGGTCTCTCTTTCTCTGGTCTCTCTCTGGTCCCTTTCTGGTCTCTCTCTCTGGTCCCTTTCTGGTCTCTCTTTCTCTGGTCTCTCTCTGGTCCCTTTCTGGTCTCTCTCTCTGGTCCCTTTCTGGTCTCTCTTTCTCTGGTCTCTCTCTGGTCCCTTTCTGGTCTCTCTCTGGTCCCTTTCTGGTCTCTCTTTCTCTGGTCTCTCTCTGGTCCCTTTCTGGTCTCTCTCTCTCTTATGTGATTCCTCTGTGTTTTAACCCTCTCCCCCTCCTGTCTCCCCCGTGTCTCCCCCCAGTTGGAGATAAGGTCCCCGCAGACATCCGCCTGGCCTCCATCTGCTCCACCACTCTGCGTGTGGACCAGTCCATCCTGACGGGGGAGTCCGTGTCGGTGCTCAAACACACCGACCCGGTCCCAGACCCCAGAGCCGTCAACCAGGACAAGAAGAACATGCTCTTCTCTGTAAGACCCTGCAGGAGACACCAGGACCACAACATGCTCCACTCTCTTTGGTCTCTCTCTGGTCTCTCTTTGGTCTCTCTCTTGTCTCTCCCTGGTCTCTCCCTGGTCTCTCTCTGGTCTCTCTCTGGTCTCTCTCTGGTCTCTCTCTGGTCTCTCTCTGGTCTCTCCCTGGTCTCTCCCTGCTCTCTCCCTGGTCTCTCTCTGGTCTCTCTCTTTCTTGTATCATTATTTTGATCCCATTCAGAGTAAATGTTAGACCTGTGTCCGCTCCAAACTCAAATGAGATCAAATGAACTCTTCCAATTAAGACATACATCCTGATAATAAAAACTTAAATCATATGTGTTTGTGTGTTTTGGTATTTAAATTTATAAAGAAATAGATTTACAAATATATATACAATTACAAATGTGTGGGTCTGATGGGGTCTGACAGGGTCTGTGTGGGTCTGATAGGGTCTGATAGGGTCTGTGTGGGTCTGTGTGGGTCTATGTGGGTTTGATGGGGTCTGTGTGGGGTCTGATGGGGTCTCTGTGGGTCTGATGGGGTCTGTGTGGGTCTGTGTGGGTCTGATGGGGTCTGAGGGGGTCTGTGTCGGTCTGAGGGGGTCTGGCTCTGACCTTTTGGCTGCTCTGGGTGAGGCTGGAGCTGAGAATACTTTGAAAGCGCTTTGTTGTTCCCTAAGCCACATCTCTGTGTTGTTATTCTGGGAAAAGTGGGCCAGATTTCCGGTCAAACCACAACCGTGCGTCCAGGAGCTACGTTAACCTGTGTTTATTGTAAATAAGTGGTAACATATTATGACAACACAGCGGCTGTCTTGCACCAGGGCTTTTAACTGTGCCTAAACCCAGAACAGACAGACTTCATGATGAAAGTGTGACTCATGAAAACTGCTCCGTTCAAAAGGCTCCAAGGCATTTATTCAGCAGTAGAAGCAGTTGTAGCAGTAGTAGCAGTTGTAGTAGCAGTAATGTCATAAATACATTGACGTCACTAGTTCCTCGTTAGTTTCATGTCTGTCTCGTCACATCTTTGATCAGATTTTTCAGACAGAAACGTGAAAAAGTGAGGACCATCCTCTCTCAGCCAATCAGCTCTCAGCCAATCAGCTCTCAGCGACTCTTTATATGTTGTGGTCTGAACATATTACTTTAAAAGACTTTCTGCTGGACGGACATTTATTATTGATGCACAAAAAACGTAGGGGCCCAAGCTTTAGTTGAACTATTGTAATGTGTTTCTTCTTCTCTCCGTCAGGGCACAAACATCGCAGCGGGACGGGCCATCGGCGTCGTCGTGGCAACCGGAGTCCAGACGGAGATCGGGAAAATCAGAGATGAGATGGCATCAACAGACCCTGAACGCACCCCTCTGCAGAAGAAGCTGGATGAGTTTGGAGAACAGCTCTCCAAGGTGAGACCAGAGACTGGACCAGAGACTGGACCAGAGACTGGACCAGAGACTGGACCAGAGACTGGACCAGAGACTGGACCAGAGACTGGACCAGAGACTGGACCAGAGACTGGACCAGAGACTGGACCAGAGACTGGACCAGAGAGAGACTGTGTTTCTGTATAAACCTGTGTCTCTGTGTTTTAGGTCATCAGTGTGATCTGTGTGGCAGTGTGGGCCATAAACGTGGGCCACTTCAACGACCCAGTGCACGGCGGCTCCTGGCTGCGAGGAGCAGTGTACTACTTCAAGATTGCGGTGGCTCTGGCTGTGGCCGCAATCCCTGAGGGTGAGTGTGGGGACCGGGAGGGTGAGTGCGGGGACTGGGAGGGTGAGTGCGGGGACTGGGAGGGTGAGTGCGGGGACTGGGAGGGTGAGTGCGGGGACCGGGAGGGTGAGTGCGGGGACCGGAGCTGAGTGCGGGACCGGGAGGCTGAGTGCGGGGACCGGGAGGCTGAGTGCGGGGACCGGGAGGCTGAGTGCGGGGACCGGGAGGCTGAGTGCGGGGACCGGGAGGCTGAGTGCGGGGACCGGGAGGCTGAGTGCGGGGACCGGGAGGCTGAGTGCGGGGACCGGGAGGCTGAGTGCGGGGACCGGGAGGCTGAGTGCGGGGACCGGGAGGCTGAGTGCGGGGACCGGGAGGCTGAGTGCGGGGACCGGGAGGCTGAGTGCGGGGACCGGGAGGCTGAGTGCGGGGACCGGGGAGGCTGAGTGCGGGGACCGGGAGGCTGAGTGCGGGGACCGGGAGGCTGAGTGCGGGGACCGGGAGGCTGAGTGCGGGGACCGGGAGGCTGAGTGCGGGGACCGGGAGGCTGAGTGCGGGGACCGGGAGGCTGAGTGCGGGGACCGGGAGGCTGAGTGCGGGGACCGGGAGGCTGAGTGTTGGGAAGTGTTATACAGAGAAGAAATACAGACAGACACATACTTGAAGGAGCTACTGTACGATAGACATTTCCTAACCTCACATTCTGGAGACATACCCCTGTCCCATGGCTCATTACCTCCCCCTCTCCCCTCTCCGCCTCTCCCCCTCTCTCCCCCAGGCCTCCCCGCTGTGATCACCACCTGCCTGGCTCTGGGCACCAGGAGGATGGCCCGTAAGAACGCCATTGTGCGCAGTCTGCCGTCGGTGGAGACTCTGGGCTGCACCTCCGTCATCTGCTCCGACAAAACCGGGACTCTGACTACCAACCAGATGTCTGTCTGCCGGGTGAGACACACACACACACACACAGGTCACCTGTAGCTCTCTAACCTGTAGCTCTCTCACCTCTGTCTCTAACCTGTAGCTCTCTAACCTGTAGCTCTCTCACCTCTGTCTCTAACCTGTAGCTCTCTAACCTGTAGCTCTCTCACCTCTGTCTCTAACCTGTAGCTCTCTAACCTGAAGCTCTCTCACCTCTGTCTCTAACCTGTAGCTCTCTCACCTCTGTCTCTAACCTGTAGCTCTCTAACCTGTAGCTCTCTAACCTCAGACTAATGTTGTGTAGATGTTTGTGGTGGAGGCGGCGGCCGGAGACCAGTGCAGTCTGAGCGAGTTCAGCATAACTGGATCCACTTACGCTCCAGAGGGAGAAGTGTGAGTCTGACTAACCTTCAGACAAACCTGTAGACCCAAGACCGAGGCCGTAGACCCAAGACCGAGGCCGTAGACCCGAGACCGAGGCCGTAGACCCGAGACCGAGGCCGTAGACCCGAGACCGAGGCCGTAGACCCGAGACCGAGGCCGTAGACCCGAGACCGAGGCCGTAGACCCGAGACCGAGGCCGTAGACACCGAGGCCGTAGACCCGACCGAGGCCGTAGACCCGAGACCGAGGCCGTAGACCCGAGACCGAGGCCGTAGACCCGAGACCGAGGCCGTAGACCCGAGGCCGTAGACCCGAGGCCGTAGACCCGAGCCGAGGCCGTAGACCGAGGCCGTAGACCGAGACCGAGGCCGTAGACCCGAGACCGAGGCCGTAGACCCGAGACCGAGGCCGTAGACCCGAGACCGAGGCCGTAGACCCGAGACCGAGGCCGTAGACCCGAGCCCGAGGCCGTAGACCCGAGCCCGAGGCCGTAGACCCGAGCCCGAGGCCGTAGACCCGAGCCCGAGGCCGTAGACCCGAGCCCGAGGCCGTAGACCCGAGCCCGAGGCCCGAGAGCCGTAGACCCGAGCCGAGGCCGTAGACCCGAGGCCGAGGCCGTAGACCCGAGGCCGAGGCCGTAGACCCGAGGCCGAGGCCGTAGACCCGAGGCCGAGGCCGTAGACCCGAGGCCGAGGCCGTAGACCCGAGGCCGAGCCCGTAGACCCGAGGCGTAGACCCGAGGCCGTAGACCCGAGACCGAGGCCGAGGCCGTAGACCCGAGACCGAGGCCGTAGACCCGAGGACCCAGGGCCACTGTCTGAAGGGGAGGGTTCTCTTCTTTTGCAGGTACAAAGATGAAGCGATGGTGAAGTGCAGTCAGTACGAGGGGCTGGTGGAGCTCGCCACCATCTGTGCTCTGTGCAACGACTCCTCCCTGGACTACAACGAGGTCAGGACCATTCACATTACACTCCTGGGGCCGTATTCCTAAAGATTCTTAGTGCTAAAAGTTGCTCCTAGCGGCCAAATTCTAAGAATTTTCTTAGAATCTTGACCAACTCTTAGAATTTCCCCTAAAAGTGAGGAGTAGCTTCTAGTTAAGAAAAAAGCTATTCCTAAAGAATCCTAGCTCTTAAGAGTGCTCCTAAGGTGAGATCCCTTAAGAGTTGAGAGGAGGACTTTTAGCAACTTAAAAGTTCCCTAAGAGGACAAAATGGTGGACGGTAGAGGCAGGAGAAATATTCTATACACTGGATGACAGTGAATCAGTAAAACGCTGCAGATTGGATCCTGCAGGAATCATGTTTAAAAGTCAATCATGTACAAATATACAGTTTTGTTTTAACAGCAATCCAGTTCAAAAAGGAGTGTGAAGAAGTTAATACTTTTAAACTCCCACCCTCTATTTTCTAAATTAACTTAAATAGTGTGGTTGCTACAGCTTAGTTTATTCCATGGTGTATTTACAGTTATGCAACAGTGACATTCACAATAACATGCACTTGATTTGTGTATGTATAAAATGCTTATATTAATATTTTTTCCTTAATTCCTTTTACGTCTTTCAGTATCACAGCCTTTACTAATCCTAATGTTATCATAATCATCTAATATATATATATATATATAAGTGCTCATGTTATATACGTTTGTTAAATATGTGTGATAAATTGGTGCTGAGCAAGCTCTAATGATGGGGTGTAAAAGTCAAACTTACAACAGTAAGTTAGACAATATTAGTAAATACATCTGACTTTCTACCTTTTCTGATTATTTACAATGACACAGTATTCCTAAGATTAGATTCTATGATTGAGTTTGTCCATTAGAGGATCCTTATTTTGCCCATTATCAAAAATATGGTTTCTCTAACTTTTAGGATCAACCAATCACAGCGTCTGAAATGATGACTCATACCTAGCAACGGGGTCGGCCACGCCTCCTCACTAAGATAAGAGTTGTTGTCAATTCCTTGCTCAGAGTTCTCTAAGAGTGTTCTGGAATAACTTTTAAGCAAAGACTCCTAGCTAGGAGTTTTTAGGTTAAGATAGGAGCTCTCTGAGAGGACTCTTAGAATCTTTAGGAATACGGCCCCTGGTCTCTCTCTGGTCTCTCTCTGGTCTCTTTCTGGTCTCTCTCTGGTCTCTCTCCCTGGTCTCTCTCTCTGGTTTCTCTCTCTTTCTGGTCTCTGTCTCTCTGGTCTTTCTCTCTGGTCTTTCTCTCTGGTATCTCTTTCTGGTCTCTCTCTGGTCTCTCTCCCTGGTCTCTCTCTCTGGTTTCTCTCTCTTTCTGGTCTCTGTCTCTCTGGTCTCTCTCTCTGGTCTCTCTTTCTGGCCCTTCTCTCTCTGGTTTCTCTCTCTTTCTGGTGTCGCTCTCTGGTTTCTGTCTCTGTCTCTCTGGTCTCTCTCTCTCTCTCTGGTGTCTCTCTTTCTGGTGTCTCTCTCTCTGGTCTCTCTCCTGCTTGTATTAACCCCCGTGTGTTCCAGTCCAAAGGTCTGTTTGAGAAGGTGGGAGAGGCCACAGAGACTGCCCTCTGCTGTTTGGTGGAGAAAATGAACGTCTTGGACACAGACCTGAGAGGACTGAGCCAATCAGAGAGAGCTACAGCCTGCTGCTCGGTGAGACACACACACACAAACACACACACACAGACACACACACACACAGACACGCACAAACACACACAAACACACACAAACACACAACACTGGCTGTTTGTGTTAAAGTGCCATGTGCTGTAGTCGAACCTTCAGACGTCTTGGCTGTTTGTGTTAAAGTGCCATGTGCCTGTTTCAGGTGATAAAGCAGCTGATGAAGAAGGAACTGACCCTGGAGTTTTCCAGAGACAGGAAGTCCATGTCTGTGTTCTGTTTGTCCAATAAACTCAACCGCTCCATAACGGGCTCCAGGATGTTTGTGAAGGTGAAGGACGCCTCTGTCTCTGTGTCTGTGTCTGTGTCTGTCTGTGTCTGTCTCTCTGTCTGTCTGTCTGTCTCTGTGTCTGTCTCTGTGTCTGTCTCTGTGTCTGTGTGTCTCTCTGTGTCTCTCTGTCTTTCTCTCTGTCTTTCTCTCTGTCTCTCTCTCTGTCTGTCTGTCTCTGTCTGTCTCTGTCTCTGTGTGTGTCTCTCTCTGTCTGTCACTGTGTCTGTCTCTGTCTGTCTCTCTCTCTCTCTGTCTGTCTGTCTGTGTGTCTGTCTTTCTCTCTGTCTCCACCTCTGTCTGTGTGTCTCTCTCTGTCTCTCTCCACCTCTCTCTCTCTCTTTCTCTCCCTCTCTGTCTCCACCTCTCTGTGTCTCTCTGTCTGGTGCTGGTCTCTCGAAGCCACCTCCAGACTGTAGAGGTGTACAAGACCTGGAGAACCAGAGCAGCGAGAGAGACTAGAGCGAGACTAGAGCAAGAGAGACTAGAGCAAGAGAGACTAGAGCAAGAGAGACTAGAGCAAGAGAGACTAGAGCGAGAGAGACTAGAGCAAGAGAGAGACTAGAGCGAGAGAGAGAGACTAGAGCGAGAGAGAGAGACTAGAGCGAGAGAGAGACTAGAGCGAGAGAGAGAGAGACTAGAGCGAGAGAGAGACTAGAGCGAGAGAGAGACTAGAGCGAGAGAGAGACTAGAGCGAGAGAGAGACTAGAGCGAGAGAGAGACTAGAGCGAGAGAGAGACTAGAGCGAGAGAGAGACTAGAGCGAGAGAGACTAGAGCGAGAGAGAGAGACTAGAGCGAGAGAGAGAGACTAGAGCGCGAGAGAGAGACTAGAGCGCGAGAGAGAGACTAGAGCGAGAGAGAGAGACTAGAGCGAGAGAGAGAGACTAGAGCGAGAGAGAGAGACTAGAGCGAGAGAGAGAGACTAGAGCGAGAGAGAGAGAGACTAGAGCGAGAGAGAGAGAAGAGCGAGAGAGAGAGAGACTAGAGCGAGAGAGAGAGACTAGAGCGAGAGAGAGAGACTAGAGCGCGAGAGAGAGACTAGAGCGCGAGAGAGAGACTAGAGCGCGAGAGAGAGACTAGAGCGAGAGAGAGAGAGACTAGAGAGAGTCCAGAGACGGGAGCCTGGACTTCCCTCATGTGTTGTTTCCTCCAGGGAGCTCCAGAGAATGTGCTGGAGCGCTGCACTCACCTGCGTGTGGGTGGCTCTGGCCGCGTGCCCATGAGCAAAGCACTGAAGGAGCAGCTGCTGTCCACAGTGAGGGAGTGGGGATCAGGACGAGACACTCTCAGGTGTCTGGCCATGGCCACGAGAGACACCCCCCCAGACATCAAGTCTCTCAACCTGGAGAACTCTGCCGGCTTTGTGGACTACGAGGTGAGGACCAGAACAACCAGGGACCAGAGGGAGAGAGAGGGAGATGGAGGGAGGGAGAGGGAGAGAGAGAGGGGCCAGAGGGAGAGAGAGGGGCCAGAGGGCCAGCGGGAGAGAGAGAGAGGCCAGTGGGAGAGAGAGGGGCCAGAGGGCCAGCGGGAGAGAGAGAGAGACCAGTGGGAGGGGAGGGAGAGAGAGGCCAGAGGGAGGGAGGGAGGGAGAGAGAGGCCAGAGGGAGGGAGGGAGGGAGGGAGAGAGAGGCCAGAGGGAGGGAGGGAGAGAGAGAGGCCGGAGGGAGGGAGAGAGAGAGAGGCCAGAGGGAGGGAGGGAGGGAGAGAGGCCGGAGGGAGGGAGAGGGAGAGAGAGAGAGGCCAGAGGGAGGGAGGGAGGGAGAGAGAGGCCAGAGGGAGGGAGGGAGGGAGAGAGAGGCCAGAGGGAGGGAGAGAGAGGCCAGAGGGAGGAAGGGAGGGAGAGAGAGGCCAGAGGGAGGGAGGGAGGGAGAGGGAGGCCAGAGGGAGGAAGGGAGGGAGAGAGGCCGGAGGGAGAGAGAGGGAGGGAGGGAGGGAGGGAGGGAGAGGCCAGAGGGAGGGAGGGAGGGAGGGAGAGGCCAGAGGGAGGGAGAGAGAGAGGGAGAGAGAGGCCAGAGGGAGGGAGGGAGAGAGGGAGAGAGAGGCCAGAGGGAGGGAGGGGAGAGAGAGAGGCCGGAGGGAGGGAGAGAGAGAGAGAGGCCAGAGGGAGGGAGGGAGGGAGAGAGAGGCCAGAGGGAGGGAGGGAGGGAGAGAGAGGCCAGAGGGAGGAAGGGAGGGAGAGAGGCCAGAGGGAGGGAGAGAGAGGGAGGGAGGGAGGGAGAGAGAGAGAGAGAGGCCAGAGGGAGGGAGGGAGGGAGGGAGGGAGAGAGAGAGGCCAGAGGGAGGGGAGAGAGAGAGAGAGAGGCCGGAGGGAGGGAGAGGCCTCAAAGGTGGATCAAAGTCAGGTTAAGAAAAAGAGTAAAAAAGTGATAACATTGTCTGCCTCTGTCTCTACTCTCTCTGGTCTCTCTCTCTCTCACCCCCCTCCCCCCCCCCCCCTCTCCTCCCCCCTCTGTCTGTCTCTCTCCAGTCTGAGCTGACCTTCGTGGGCTGTGTGGGGATGCTGGACCCTCCGAGGAAAGAGGTTCTCATGAAGTGGAGAATGTGTCGGGTCATGGGGGGCGGGGAGAGTCGGGGGGGGGTGGGGGGGGGTTTGTGACCGGGTGTTCATCAGTTGATCACATTCGGTGTCGAATTAACCAGCAACAACGATTCGAATATGCAGTCCTGGTACTTGGGGGGGATCTATGTCGGTCGGGTCTTCGAACAAGAACGAAGCAGACGGAGGTATGGAGGGATTAAAGGATTGAGGAGATAGTGTCCAGTTACCGGGTAGGGGGGAGGTGAGATGCATTTTGGTTGCTGATATTCAGGCACTAGACGCTGTGAGGTGCGGCATGTATGACCCGGAGTGCTCCCGCTTGCGCTGAGCGACACATTCGTCACTGCTAGCTGGAGAACCTCTTTCTACGTTAGGGTCCACATCCCACACACAGCCCACAGTTAGTCAGCTCAGAAGAGAGAACAGTACAGGGGGGAGGAGAGAGGGGCGGGGGGGGGGAGGGGTGAGAGAAGAGAGACGAGCCGAGAGAGAGGAAGAGACAAGGGCAGACAATGGTTACTCTTTTATATTAATGGGACTCTTTTTTCTTAAACCTGACTTTGATCGCACCTTTTGAAGCCTCTCCCTCCCTCCGGCCTCTCTGCTCATCTCGTCACCTCCCTCTGGGCGCGGGGGGGTGGGGGGGGGCGGTCTCTGCTTCTGGGGGCGGGGTTGGCTCCCGGGTACCGGCGGTGAGGGGGGGGTGGGGGGGGGCGGTGGGGGCTACGGCGCCGTGTCCCTCCCTTCTGGCCTCTCTCTCATCTCTCTCCCTCCTCGTCGCGCTCCCCTGCGGCGACTCCCGTCCCCATGGCGCACGTACATCCCTCCGGCTATACCGTCGCCTCTCCTCTCAGCTTCACCTCCCTTCTCCCTCTGGCCGTGTGCTGTCTCTCCCGGTCACTCCCCCCCTCTGGCCTCTCTCTCCCTCCCTCGCCTCAGCTCTGGCCTCATCCTCTCCGTCCCGCCCTCCGGGGCGTCACTCCCCTCCCTCCCTCCCTCCCTCCCTCCCTCCCTCTCTCTCCCTCCGGCCTCTCTCCCTCCCTTCCTCCCTCTGGCCTCCCTCTCCCTTCCTCCCTCCCTCTGGCCTCTCTCTCCCTCCCTTCCTCCCTCTGGCCTCTCTCTCCCTCCCTTCCTCCCTCTGGCCTCTCTCTCCCTCCCTCTGGCCTCTCTCTCCCTCCCTCCCTCCCTCTGGCCTCTCTCTCTCTCCCTCCCTCCGGCCTCTCTCCCTCCCTCCCTCCCTCTGGCCTCTCTCTCCCTCCCTCCGGCCTCTCTCTCTCCCTCCCTCCCTCTGGCCTCTCTCTCCCTCCCTCCCTCCCTCCCTCTGGCCTCTCTCTCCCTCCCTCCCTCCCTCCCTCTGGCCTCTCTCTCCCTCCCTCCCACTGGCCTCTCTCTCTCTCCCGCTGGCCCTCTGGCCCCTCTCTCTCCCACTGGCCCCTCTCTCTCTCCCTCTCCCTCCCTCCATCTCCCTCTCTCGCCCTCTGGTCCCTGGTTGTTCTGGTCCTCACCTCGTAGTCCACAAAGCCGGCAGAGTTCTCCAGGTTGAGAGACTTGATGTCTGGGGGGGTGTCTCTCGTGGCCATGGCCAGACACCTGAGAGTGTCTCGTCCTGATCCCCACTCCCTCACTGTGGACAGCAGCTGCTCCTTCAGTGCTTTGCTCATGGGCACGCGGCCAGAGCCACCCACACGCAGGTGAGTGCAGCGCTCCAGCACATTCTCTGGAGCTCCCTGGAGGAAACAACACATGAGGGAAGTCCAGGCTCCCGTCTCTGGACTCTCTCTAGTCTCTCTCTCTCTCTCGCTCTAGTCTCTCTCTCGCGCTCTAGTCTCTCTCTCTCGCGCTCTAGTCTCTCTCTCTCGCGCTCTAGTCTCTCTCTCTCGCGCTCTAGTCTCTCTCTCTCGCGCTCTAGTCTCTCCCTCTCGCTCTAGTCTCTCCCTCTCGCTCTAGTCTCTCTCTCTCGCTCTAGTCTCTCTCTCTCGCTCTAGTCTCTCTCTCTCGCTCTAGTCTCTCTCTCTCGCGCTCTAGTCTCTCTCGCGCGCTCTAGTCTCTCTCGCTCTAGTCTCTCTCTCTCGCTCTAGTCTCTCTCTCTCGCTCTAGTCTCTCTCTCTCGCTCTAGTCTCTCTCGCGCTCTAGTCTCTCGCGCTCTAGTCTCTCTCTCGCGCTCTAGTCTCTCTCTCTCGCTCTAGTCTCTCGCTCTAGTCTCTCTCTCGCTCTAGTCTCTCTCTCGCTCTAGTCTCTCTCTTGCTCTAGTCTCTCTCTCGCTCTAGTCTCTCTCTCTCTCTCTCTCGCTCTCTCTCTCTCGCTCTAGTCTCTCTCGCTCTAGTCTCTCTCTCTCGCTCTAGTCTCTCTCTCTCGCTCTAGTCTCTCTCTTGCTCTAGTCTCTCTCGCTCTAGTCTCTCTCGCTCTAGTCTCTCTCGCTCTAGTCTCTCTTGCTCTAGTCTCTCTTGCTCTAGTCTCTCTTGCTCTAGTCTCGCTCTAGTCTCTCTCGCTGCTCTGGTTCTCCAGGTCTTGTACACCTCTACAGTCTGGAGGTGGCTTCGAGAGACCAGCACCAGACAGAGAGACACAGAGAGGTGGAGACAGAGAGGGAGAGAAAGAGAGAGAGACAGAGAGAGGTGGAGAGAGACAGAGAGAGACACACAGACAGAGGTGGAGACAGAGAGAAAGACAGAGACACACAGACAGACAGACAGAGAGAGAGAGAGACAGACAGAGACAGACACAGTGACAGACAGAGAGAGACACACACAGAGACAGAGACAGACAGAGACAGACAGAGAGACAGACAGAGAGAGAGACAGAGAGAAAGACAGAGAGACAGAGAGAGACACACAGACACAGAGACAGACACAGAGACAGACACAGAGACAGACAGACAGACAGAGAGACAGACACAGACAGACACAGACACAGACAGAGACAGAGGCGTCCTTCACCTTCACAAACATCCTGGAGCCCGTTATGGAGCGGTTGAGTTTATTGGACAAACAGAACACAGACATGGACTTCCTGTCTCTGGAAAACTCCAGGGTCAGTTCCTTCTTCATCAGCTGCTTTATCACCTGAAACAGGCACATGGCACTTTAACACAAACAGCCAAGACGTCTGAAGGTTCGACTACAGCACATGGCACTTTAACACAAACAGCCAGTGTTGTGTGTTTGTGTGTGTTTGTGTGTGTTTGTGTGTGTCTGTGTGTGTGTGTGTGTGTCTGTGTGTGTGTGTTTGTGTGTGTGTGTCTCACCGAGCAGCAGGCTGTAGCTCTCTCTGATTGGCTCAGTCCTCTCAGGTCTGTGTCGAAGACGTTCATTTTCTCCACCAAACAGCAGAGGGCAGTCTCTGTGGCCTCTCCCACCTTCTCAAACAGACCTTTGGACTGGAACACACGGGGTTAATACAAGCAGGAGAGAGACCAGAGAGAGAGACACCAGAAAGAGAGACACCAGAGAGAGAGAGAGAGACCAGAGAGACAGAGACAGAAACCAGAGAGCGACACCAGAAAGAGAGAGAGACCAGAGAGAGAGACCAGAGAGACAGAGACCAGAAAGAGAGAGAAACCAGAGAGAGAGACCAGGGAGAGAGACCAGAGAGAGACCAGAAAGAGATACCAGAGAGAAAGACCAGAGAGAAAGACCAGAGAGACAGAGACCAGAAAGAGAGAGAGAAACCAGAGAGAGAGACCAGGGAGAGAGACCAGAGAGAGACCAGAAAGAGACCAGAGAGAGACCAGAGAGAGACCAGGGGCCGTATTCCTAAAGATTCTAAGAGTCCTCTCAGAGAGCTCCTATCTTAACCTAAAAACTCCTAGCTAGGAGTCTTTGCTTAAAAGTTATTCCAGAACACTCTTAGAGAACTCTGAGCAAGGAATTGACAACAACTCTTATCTTAGTGAGGAGGCGTGGCCGACCCCGTTGCTAGGTATGAGTCATCATTTCAGACGCTGTGATTGGTTGATCCTAAAAGTTAGAGAAACCATATTTTTGATAATGGGCAAAATAAGGATCCTCTAATGGACAAACTCAATCATAGAATCTAATCTTAGGAATACTGTGTCATTGTAAATAATCAGAAAAGGTAGAAAGTCAGATGTATTTACTAATATTGTCTAACTTACTGTTGTAAGTTTGACTTTTACACCCCATCATTAGAGCTTGCTCAGCACCAATTTATCACACATATTTAACAAACGTATATAACATGAGCACTTATATATATATATATATATATTAGATGATTATGATAACATTAGGATTAGTAAAGGCTGTGATACTGAAAGACGTAAAAGGAATTAAGGAAAAAATATTAATATAAGCATTTTTATACATACACAAATCAAGTGCATGTTATTGTGAATGTCACTGTTGCATAACTGTAAATACACCATGGAATAAACTAAGCTGTAGCAACCACACTATTTAAGTTAATTTAGAAAATAGAGGGTGGGAGTTTAAAAGTATTAACTTCTTCACACTCCTTTTTGAACTGGATTGCTGTTAAAACAAAACTGTATATTTGTACATGATTGACTTTTAAACATGATTCCTGCAGGATCCAATCTGCAGCGTTTTACTGATTCACTGTCATCCAGTGTATAGAATATTTCTCCTGCCTCTACCGTCCACCATTTTGTCCTCTTAGGGAACTTTTAAGTTGCTAAAAGTCCTCCTCTCAACTCTTAAGGGATCTCACCTTAGGAGCACTCTTAAGAGCTAGGATTCTTTAGGAATAGCTTTTTTCTTAACTAGAAGCTACTCCTCACTTTTAGGGGAAATTCTAAGAGTTGGTCAAGATTCTAAGAAAATTCTTAGAATTTGGCCGCTAGGAGCAACTTTTAGCACTAAGAATCTTTAGGAATACGGCCCCAGGAGTGTAATGTGAATGGTCCTGACCTCGTTGTAGTCCAGGGAGGAGTCGTTGCACAGAGCACAGATGGTGGCGAGCTCCACCAGCCCCTCGTACTGACTGCACTTCACCATCGCTTCATCTTTGTACCTGCAAAAGAAGAGAACCCTCCCCTTCAGACAGTGGCCCTGGGTCCTCGGGTCTACGGCCTCGGTCTCGGGTCTACGGCCTCGGCCTCGGTCTCGGGTCTACGGCCTCGGGTCTACGCCTCGGGTCTACGCCTCGGGTCTACGGCCTCGGCCTCGGGTCTACGGCCTCGGCCTCGGGTCTACGGCCTCGGCCTCGGGTCTACGGCCTCGGCCTCGGGTCTACGGCCTCGGGCTCGGGTCTACGGCCTCGGGCTCGGGTCTACGGCCTCGGGCTCGGGTCTACGGCCTCGGGCTCGGGTCTACGGCCTCGGGCTCGGGTCTACGGCCTCGGGCTCGGGTCTACGGCCTCGGTCTCGGGTCTACGGCCTCGGTCTCGGGTCTACGGCCTCGGTCTCGGGTCTACGGCCTCGGTCTCGGGTCTACGGCCTCGGGTCTACGGCCTCGGGTCTACGGCCTCGGTCTCGGGTCTACGGCCTCGGTCTCGGGTCTACGGCCTCGGTCTCGGGTCTACGGCCTCGGTCTCGGGTCTACGGCCTCGGGTCTACGGCCTCGGTCTCGGGTCTACGGCCTCGGTCTCGGGTCTACGGCCTCGGTCTCGGGTCTACGGCCTCGGTCTCGGGTCTACGGCCTCGGTCTCGGGTCTACGGCCTCGGTCTCGGGTCTACGGCCTCGGTCTCGGGTCTACGGCCTCGGTCTTGGGTCTACGGCCTCGGTCTTGGGTCTACAGGTTTGTCTGAAGGTTAGTCAGACTCACACTTCTCCCTCTGGAGCGTAAGTGGATCCAGTTATGCTGAACTCGCTCAGACTGCACTGGTCTCCGGCCGCCGCCTCCACCACAAACATCTACACAACATTAGTCTGAGGTTAGAGAGCTACAGGTTAGAGAGCTACAGGTTAGAGACAGAGGTGAGAGAGCTACAGGTTAGAGACAGAGGTGAGAGAGCTTCAGGTTAGAGAGCTACAGGTTAGAGACAGAGGTGAGAGAGCTACAGGTTAGAGAGCTACAGGTTAGAGACAGAGGTGAGAGAGCTACAGGTTAGAGCGCTACAGGTTAGAGACAGAGGTGAGAGAGCTACAGGTTAGAGACAAAGGTGAGAGAGCTACAGGTTAGAGACAGAGGTGAGAGAGCTACAGGTTAGAGACAGAGGTGAGAGAGCTACAGGTTAGAGACAGAGGTGAGAGAGCTACAGGTTAGAGACAGAGGTGAGAGAGCTACAGGTTAGAGACAGAGGTGAGAGAGCTACAGGTTAGAGAGCTACAGGTTAGAGACAGAGGTGAGAGAGCTACAGGTTAGAGAGCTACAGGTTAGAGACAGAGGTGAGAGAGCTACAGGTTAGAGAGCTACAGGTGACCTGTGTGTGTGTGTGTGTGTCTCACCCGGCAGACAGACATCTGGTTGGTAGTCAGAGTCCCGGTTTTGTCGGAGCAGATGACGGAGGTGCAGCCCAGAGTCTCCACCGACGGCAGACTGCGCACGATGGCGTTCTTACGGGCCATCCTCCTGGTGCCCAGAGCCAGGCAGGTGGTGATCACAGCGGGGAGGCCTGGGGGAGAGAGGGGGAGAGGCGGAGAGGGGAGAGGGGGAGGTAATGAGCCATGGGACAGGGGTATGTCTCCAGAATGTGAGGTTAGGAAATGTCTATCGTACAGTAGCTCCTTCAAGTATGTGTCTGTCTGTATTTCTTCTCTGTATAACACTTCCCAACACTCAGCCTCCCGGTCCCCGCACTCAGCCTCCCGGTCCCCGCACTCAGCCTCCCGGTCCCCGCACTCAGCCTCCCGGTCCCCGCACTCAGCCTCCCGGTCCCCGCACTCAGCCTCCCGGTCCCCGCACTCAGCCTCCCGGTCCCCGCACTCAGCCTCCCGGTCCCCGCACTCAGCCTCCCGGTCCCCGCACTCAGCCTCCCGGTCCCCGCACTCAGCCTCCCGGTCCCCGCACTCAGCCTCCCGGTCCCCGCACTCAGCCTCCCGGTCCCCCGCACCGCCAGCCTCCCGGTCCCCGCACTCAGCCTCCCGGTCCCCGCACTCAGCCTCCCGGTCCCCGCACTCAGCCTCCCGGTCCCCGCACTCACCCTCCCAGTCCCCGCACTCACCCTCCCAGTCCCCGCACTCACCCTCCCAGTCCCTGCACTCACCCTCCCGGTCCCCACACTCACCCTCAGGGATTGCGGCCACAGCCAGAGCCACCGCAATCTTGAAGTAGTACACTGCTCCTCGCAGCCAGGAGCCGCCGTGCACTGGGTCGTTGAAGTGGCCCACGTTTATGGCCCACACTGCCACACAGATCACACTGATGACCTAAAACACAGAGACACAGGTTTATACAGAAACACAGTCTCTCTCTGGTCCAGTCTCTGGTCCAGTCTCTGGTCCAGTCTCTGGTCCAGTCTCTGGTCCAGTCTCTGGTCCAGTCTCTGGTCCAGTCTCTGGTCCAGTCTCTGGTCCAGTCTCTGGTCCAGTCTCTGGTCCAGTCTCTGGTCTCACCTTGGAGAGCTGTTCTCCAAACTCATCCAGCTTCTTCTGCAGAGGGGTGCGTTCAGGGTCTGTTGATGCCATCTCATCTCTGATTTTCCCGATCTCCGTCTGGACTCCGGTTGCCACGACGACGCCGATGGCCCGTCCCGCTGCGATGTTTGTGCCCTGACGGAGAGAAGAAGAAACACATTACAATAGTTCAACTAAAGCTTGGGCCCCTACGTTTTTTGTGCATCAATAATAAATGTCCGTCCAGCAGAAAGTCTTTTAAAGTAATATGTTCAGACCACAACATATAAAGAGTCGCTGAGAGCTGATTGGCTGAGAGCTGATTGGCTGAGAGAGGATGGTCCTCACTTTTTCACGTTTCTGTCTGAAAAATCTGATCAAAGATGTGACGAGACAGACATGAAACTAACGAGGAACTAGTGACGTCAATGTATTTATGACATTACTGCTACTACAACTGCTACTACTGCTACAACTGCTTCTACTGCTGAATAAATGCCTTGGAGCCTTTTGAACGGAGCAGTTTTCATGAGTCACACTTTCATCATGAAGTCTGTCTGTTCTGGGTTTAGGCACAGTTAAAAGCCCTGGTGCAAGACAGCCGCTGTGTTGTCATAATATGTTACCACTTATTTACAATAAACACAGGTTAACGTAGCTCCTGGACGCACGGTTGTGGTTTGACCGGAAATCTGGCCCACTTTTCCCAGAATAACAACACAGAGATGTGGCTTAGGGAACAACAAAGCGCTTTCAAAGTATTCTCAGCTCCAGCCTCACCCAGAGCAGCCAAAAGGTCAGAGCCAGACCCCCTCAGACCGACACAGACCCCCTCAGACCCCATCAGACCCACACAGACCCACACAGACCCCATCAGACCCACAGAGACCCCATCAGACCCCACACAGACCCCATCAAACCCACATAGACCCACACAGACCCACACAGACCCTATCAGACCCTAACAGACCCACACAGACCCTGTCAGACCCCATCAGACCCACACATTTGTAATTGTATATATATTTGTAAATCTATTTCTTTATAAATTTAAATACCAAAACACACAAACACATATGATTTAAGTTGTTATTATCAGGATGTATGTCTTAATTGGAAGAGTTCATTTGATCTCATTTGAGTTTGGAGCGGACACAGGTCTAACATTTACTCTGAATGGGATCAAAATAATGATACAAGAAAGAGAGAGACCAGAGAGAGACCAGGGAGAGAGCAGGGAGAGAGACCAGAGAGACCAGAGAGAGAGACCAGAGAGAGAGACCAGAGAGAGACCAGGGAGAGACCAGGGAGAGACCAGGGAGAGAGCAGGGAGAGAGACCAGAGAGAGACCAGAGAGAGAGACCAGAGAGAGAGACCAGAGAGAGACCAGAGAGAGACCAGAGAGAGACGCCAGAAAGAGACCAGAGAGAGACCAGGGAGAGACAAGAGAGCCCAGAGGGAGACCAGAGAGAGACCAGAGAGAGACCAGAGAGAGACCAGAGAGAGACCAGAGAGAGACCAGGGAGAGACCAGGGAGAGACCAGGGAGAGACCAGGGAGAGACCAGGGAGAGACCAGGGAGAGACAAGAGAGCCCAGAGGGAGACCAGAGAGAGACCAGAGAGAGACCAGAGAGAGACCAGAGAGAGACCAGAGAGAGACCAGGGAGAGACCAGGGAGAGACAAGAGAGAGACCAAAGAGAGACCAGAGAGAGACCAAAGAGAGTGGAGCATGTTGTGGTCCTGGTGTCTCCTGCAGGGTCTTACAGAGAAGAGCATGTTCTTCTTGTCCTGGTTGACGGCTCTGGGGTCTGGGACCGGGTCGGTGTGTTTGAGCACCGACACGGACTCCCCCGTCAGGATGGACTGGTCCACACGCAGAGTGGTGGAGCAGATGGAGGCCAGGCGGATGTCTGCGGGGACCTTATCTCCAACAGGGGGGGAGGGACAGAGAGGGGGAGGACAGGAGGGGAGAGGGTTAAAACACAGAGGAATCACATAAGAGAGAGAGAGACCATTGTTTAAAGTACATGGAACACATCTCTCCGGATTGTAGCGTTGGGTTCATTTCCATCTGTCGTCTCCACAGTCTCGCACTCCACAAACACATACACTCATTCACCCTGAACTATTGTACATGTTTTTAGTGGTAGTGGAGCTCCCGGAGGAAACCTACACAGACACAGGGAGAACAAGCAAACTCCACTCAGAAAGGCCATGTTCCGATCGGGATTGCGCTCCTCTCTCTGGTCTCTCTCTCTGGTCTCTCTCTCTGGTCTCTCTCTCTGGTCTCTCTCTCTGGTCTCTCTCTCTCTGGTCTCTCTCTCTCTGGTGGACTCTCTCTCTCTGGTCTCTCTCTCTCTGGTCTCTCTCTCTCTGGTCTCTCTCTCTCTGGTCTCTCTCTCTCTGGTCTCTCTCTCTGGTCTCTCACTGACACCAGAGGAAGCCCAGTGTGTCTTGAGGGAGAGCTGAGGGTCGCATTCTTTCCACTTGGAAAAGCAAAACATGGTTTCTAAACAGTTTTACATTCAGTTAAACACAGACTGTTCTGGAATCAACAACACTCTGGCTCCTGCTGATCACAGGTTTACTACATCTAGGGCTGAGGCGATAAAACAATAACGATATATATCGCGATAGACATGTGTTCAATATCAAATAGACAATGGGGTCGATAGACTGTTTGATAGTTTAACTTAACTCCGTCAGGAAAAACAGGAAGAAAACACTGGAAGTAAAGCCGACTCATAAGCGCATGGCATTGTGGGGGATGTAGGCAAGAGGCTTCTCGACCAATAACAGCCCGAGCAGGAACCGCAAAACTTTCTGGGAAATGCAAAAAACCCCAACAACCGCAGCATGCGTAGCGTCCATGGAATCTATAGCTCGTGTTTCAATGCCGTGTCAATGGTTGTGCACGTACGTGCGCGGATTCTAACATTGCTGGCAGAAGGCAGAGGCTTGAGATTAACTTTTTTCCTCGGGAAGCATGTGCGCCTGCTTTTTTTATCTCCTTCCTCGCTTGCTGCTTTTTTTTATCTCCTTTAATCATTTTTGCTTACATTTTTATTCCACAAAACACGGATTACTCCTTTTTGCATACTTCAACACAAGACTTGTGGAATTTACCTAACTTACAGCATGTCGGGAGGACGGAAAAAAAAGAACAAAACTGCGACGGCTGTTTTTCACTCAAACAGGAGCTAAAACTTCAAGACCGAATGTTTGTGCTTGAATCAGAATTGGGGCTGAACACAACAATAACCAGTGAAAGGAAATGGACCACATGGACAGAAGTGAAGGGAAAATGGACCAAATGGCCAGAACGCAAAGTTAGTGATGACGCTATTTCATTTCCAGCGTAGAAAATCAACAGAGACAATTGTTGGAACACATATGGTGCCAATCTCAGTCACGTCTGCCAAACAAGGCAAAGCTGAGAAATGATAACATTGATCCACACGGGGGCGGTAGATATCTATGAGAAGGCAAGCGAGAAGTTACGAATGGATTTAACGCTGTTACTGGATGACCTCAAGAAAATGGACATAACAATTTTTCTTAGTGGCCCACTGCCAAATATAGATGGAAAAATGGAGAAGTTTAGCCGTCTGTATCAGCTAAACATTTTACTCAATGAGTGTTCACGCAGAGGACTTGCGCTTTCATTGAAAACTTTAATCTCGTTCTGGAATTGCACCGAGCTTTTTGAAGAAAAGGCCCACATCTGAACAATACGGAGTAAAAGTGCTGATGGATAACTTTGCATTCTGCCTAAGACCTCAGCATGCGCAGCGCGTGCAGAGTTGAAAGGCGAGAAAGTAAGCAAAGGGCAAAGCACATCACGGACCCATCTCCACCGCTCCGAGGTCTCTGCACCCCCACAGCCTCCAAAAGAAATCCACACCAAGAACTAACACCTCCAAGGTTCCAAAAGAATCAACACCTCCACGGCTCGAAAGAGCTCAACGCCTCCACCCCAGCATCATACAGCAGCTGCCACATTTCTTTTCATTTTTTTTTTTTCAATAAGCGCCATCAGCTATAAGCACCACCAGCAGCAGTGGATACAGCAGCAGCAGTGGCTGCTCCATCATCTTCAAGCAGCAGCAGTGGATACAGCAGCAGCAGTGGCTGCTCCATCATCTTCAGCAGCAGCAGTGGATACGCCGCAGCAGTGGTCGCTCCATCATTTCTGCAGCAGCTGTGGGATGCTCCATCATCTTCAGCAGCAGCAGCGTGGATACCGCAGCAGCAGTGGCTGCTCATCATCTTCAGCAGCAGCAGTGGCTGCTCCATCATCTTCAGCAGCAGCAGTGGATACAGCAGCAGCAGTGGCTGCTCCATCATCTTCAAGCAGCACGTTCCCCACTACGCTCCCGAGAAGCTTCCCCCATTACCCAGGCTCCGTTCAGGCTAACTGGGGGTTCTCAACCACCTCTGTCTCCACCAAAGACTCCCTCATCACCTTCCATGACCCGGCTTGGGTCCCCCCGCTCATCACTCCATCTAGGGAAAAATGAGGACGACCTTTCCCTATGTTTTCTATTCCCGCCATTTCAGCTATGGATTTACCGGAACACTCTGCAGCATGATAAAGATCGGCGATGAAGACTATTCCTTCACACCCACTGTAGCCAGATCAAGAGTCCTATCTATCATTCAAAACTAATCCCCATACTACCTCCAAAGCACCTGGGCGTCCAACTCAAAATTCTCCCACAAAATCACTCCGTCCCTCCTCTAACCCCCGATACGTATTCCACCCCCCATCCTGTCATTTAGCCCCCTCCCCCCCCTAACTCAGGCACAAGAAACCTCACCTCCACTCCCCCCTCGTCAAAGTAAGTATCAATCAATCAATCAATCAAAGTTTATTTGTAGAGCGCCTTTCATACACAGGGCAACACAAAGCGCTTCACAGTCCACATCACAAATCATCACATAAAACAAACACCAGAATCACAATTAAAACATTAAAATCACACAAAAGATTAAAACACAATTAAAACATTAAAATCACACAAAAGAATAAAACCATTAAAACTTTCAAAATTACACAAGAAATTTAAAAAAATAAATAAATGACAGCAGTGCATTAAAAATGGAGATAAAATCCTTCAGTTGTATGCACAGGCAAACAGAACAGTCTTTAACCTGGATTTGAACATTGACAGAGTAGACGCCTCCCTCACATTTTCAGGGAGTTGTTCCAGATCTTAGCTGCATGGATCTGAAACGCAGCCTCCCCATGTTTGGTTCTCACTCTGGGCACCAGCAGGAGGCCAGTCCCTGTGCTCCTCAGAGTCCGGGCTGGTTCATATGACACCAACATGTCACTAATGTATTCTGGTGCAAGGCCATGGAGAGACTTGTACACAAGCAGAGCCGTTTTAAAATCTATTCTTTGAGCCACAGGAAGCCAGTGCAGAGACCTGAGGACCGGACTAATATGGTCATACTTCCTGGTTCCTGTCAGGACTCTAGCTGCTGCATTTTGGATGTACTGCAGCTGCTTACAGGTCTGTTTGGACAGACCTGTAAGCAGGCCATTGCAGTAGTCTAGCCTGCTGGAGACAAATGCATGGACAAGAATCTCCAAGTCTGCCCTGGACACTATATTTCTAACTTTGGCAATGTTCTTCAGATGGTAAAAAGCTGTTGATGTTATTGATTTTATGTGGCTATTGAAATTTAGGTCTGAGTCCAGTATTACCCCCAAATTTCTGACCTTGTCTGAAGGAAGTAGGGAGAGAGACTGAAGTTGACAAATGACGCCCTCTCTTTGTTTCTGGGGACCAAAGACAATGATTTCGGTTTTGTCTGTATTTAGCTGGAGGAAATTATTTTGCATCCAGTCACTGATCTGTTGGATACAGTGAAGGAGCAAATCCAGTGGTCCATGTTCTCCTGCAGTCAGTGAGACATAGATCTGAGTGTCGTCAGCGTAATTGTGGTAGGACACTTTGTTTCTTTGTATTAACTGACCTAACGGCAGCATGTAGAGATTAAATAGGAGAGGTCCCAGGATCGACCCCTGTGGTACTCCACAGGTCAGGGCCACATGATCTGAGACGCAGTCTCCAATCTCCACAAAGTACTTCCTATCCTCCAGGTAAGACCTAAACCAGTCTAGGGCTGTGCCAGTGACACCAGCCCAGTCCTCCAGTCTCTGCATGAGGATCTCATGGTCGACAGTGTCGAACGCGGCACTAAGATCTAACATGACCAAAACTGTGACTTTACCTGCATCAGTGTGAAGTCGAATGTCGTTTGTTACCTTCACTAGAGCGGTCTCAGTGCTGTGGTGGGGTCTAAACCCAGACTGGAACATATCAAAAGAATTATTCATTGTTAAAAATTCAGTAAGTTGTTGGGAGGCCACTTTTTCAAGAATTTTTCCAATAAATGGCAGATTCGATATGGGGCGATAATTTTGAAGTCCCGCAGGATCCAGACTGCTCTTTTTTAGGAGAGGTCTTATGACTGCTGTTTTTAGGGCCATAGGAAATGTTCCTGACGACAGAGACATGTTTACTATTTGTGTCAGTGAAGGTAACAAACTGCTCAGGACGGACTTCAGAAATTTAGAGGGCAATATATCCAGGCTACATGTGGAGGAGCTCAGACTCATGATTATCTTTTTGACAGTTTCAGTATCCACAGGTGCAAAGTGAGTTAGCTCAGAAAGCTTCTCTGGCTGTTGCATTGTTATACGTGCTGTGGAGGTGATAGTGTTTTTGATTCCTTGTACTTTGTCATCGAAAAACTGTGCGAACTCATTACACCTAGATTTAGAGGAAAATTCTAGGGGCAACTTTACAGGGGGGTTCGTTAATCTACCAACTGTTGAAAACATAACACGAAAATTGTTACTGCAACCTCCAATAATGTCTTGTTCTACGTAGAACCCGGTTAAATTCACCCAACTCATCTTTAAAGATTTCATAATCGCCCTGGAAATTGGACTGTCGCCACTTCCGTTCGGCCCTCCGGCACTCTTGCTTCTGTGCCCTAACCGAGTCTGCCTTAGTCCATGGGGCCTTTTTCTTACTGGTAACTATTTTAACCGTCACAGGAGCAATGGCGTCCAGAACAGTCAGAACACTGGTGGTGACAGAGTTATACAATTCATCAACAGTAGAGCATGGAGTTTTCTCAAAATTTAGCATTCCCATGAACAGTTCACTTGTGTTTTCATGTATGTGTCTTCTTCTAACAGTTGTAAATTCAGCTGGTGGTTTGCTAGCAAAACACATGTCAAAAAATACACAGAAATGATCTGACAAAGCAACATCAACTACATTAACATTTGATACATTAACCCCCTTTGTAATTAGCAGGTCAAGAGTGTGCCCCCTGCTGTGGGTGGGGCCACTCACGTGCTGAATGAAACCAAAGGTCTCAAATACAGAAGCCAGCTCCTTTGCATTTCTGTCATCAACATTATCAACATGTACATTAAAATCACCTGTAATAACTAAACTATCAAAATCTGTGCACACGAATGAAAGTAGTTCAGTAAAATGGTCAATAAAATCGCAACATGACTGTGGTGGCCTGTACAGGACAATGAAAAGAGTAGAAGATTGCTTTTGTTCCATTTTAAAAGAAATATACTCAAACGATGAAAAATTTCCAAGGGGCATTCTATGGGAGACAAAGTGCTCTCTAAAAACTGCAGCTATGCCTCCCCCCCTTTTGTTTTCTCGTATTTCGGATTCGAATTTAAAATTGGGTGGTGTTGCTTCTATTAGAACTGCATTTCCTGTATTTTGGTCCAGCCATGTTTCAGCCATAAGCATAAAATCAAGATCATTTGATTTTAGTGACCAGAAAGTAAGTACCATGTGTCTGTGTTAGTGACCAGAAAGTAAGTACCATGTGTCTGTGTTAGTGACCAGAAAGTAAGTACCATGTGTCTGTGTTAGTGACCAGAAAGTAAGTACCATGTGTCTGTGTTAGTGACCAGAAAGTAAGTACCATGTGTCTGTGTTAGTGACCAGAAAGTAAGTACCATGTGTCTGTGTTAGTGACCAGAAAGTAAGTACCATGTGTCTGTGTTAGTGACCAGAAAGTAAGTACCATGTGTCTGTGTTAGTGACCAGAAAGTAAGTACCATGTGTCTGTGTTAGTGACCAGAAAGTAAGTACCATGTGTCTGTGTTAGTGACCAGAAAGTACCATGTGTCTGTGTTAGTGACCAGAAAGTAAGTACCATGTGTCTGTGTTAGTGACCAGAAAGTACCATGTGTCTGTGTTAGTGACCAGAAAGTAAGTACCATGTGTCTGTGTTAGTGACCAGAAAGTAAGTACCATGTGTCTGTGTTAGTGACCAGAAAGTAAGTACCATGTGTCTGTGTTAGTGACCAGAAAGTACCATGTGTCTGTGTTAGTGACCAGAAAGTAAGTACCATGTGTCTGTGTTAGTGACCAGAAAGTAAGTACCATGTGTCTGTGTTAGTGACCAGAAAGTAAGTACCATGTGTCTGTGTTAGTGACCAGAAAGTAAGTACCATGTGTCTGTGTTAGTGACCAGAAAGTAAGTACCATGTGTCTGTGTTAGTGACCAGAAAGTAAGTACCATGTGTCTGTGTTAGTGACCAGAAAGTAAGTACCATGTGTCTGTGTTAGTGACCAGAAAGTAAGTACCATGTGTCTGTGTTAGTGACCAGAAAGTAAGTACCATGTGTCTGTGTTAGTGACCAGAAAGTAAGTACCATGTGTCTGTGTTAGTGACCAGAAAGTAAGTACCATGTGTCTGTGTTAGTGACCAGAAAGTAAGTACCATGTGTCTGTGTTAGTGACCAGAAAGTAAGTACCATGTGTCTGTGTTAGTGACCAGAAAGTAAGTACCATGTGTCTGTGTTAGTGACCAGAAAGTAAGTACCATGTGTCTGTGTTAGTGACCAGAAAGTAAGTACCATGTGTCTGTGTTAGTGACCAGAAAGTAAGTACCATGTGTCTGTGTTAGTGACCAGAAAGTAAGTACCATGTGTCTGTGTTAGTGACCAGAAAGTAAGTACCATGTGTCTGTGTTAGTGACCAGAAAGTAAGTACCATGTGTCTGTGTTAGTGACCAGAAAGTAAGTACCATGTGTCTGTGTTAGTGACCAGAAAGTAAGTACCATGTGTCTGTGTTAGTGACCAGAAAGTAAGTACCATGTGTCTGTGTTAGTGACCAGAAAGTAAGTACCATGTGTCTGTGTTAGTGACCAGAAAGTAAGTACCATGTGTCTGTGTTAGTGACCAGAAAGTAAGTACCATGTGTCTGTGTTAGTGACCAGAAAGTAAGTACCATGTGTTACATGGTTACAGCTAATCTTATAGAGTAATCTAAAGTTATTAATTCAGTTACTTTGGAAATGTGATTAGTTACGAGAGAGAGAGAGGGAGCTCTACTCTGAGCTCCTCCCATGTTACTGAGCTCCTCTGTCTCTAAGGTGCAGGTCCATATAAGGCACTTCCTGTAACTGTCTGAAGCGATGGTGCCGTAAACACCATGGACTTTGAATCCAGGGATCTCAGGTTAATGATTGTGTTTATGATGTGGATTAAGGACAGATTCTCTTCAGACTCACGGACAGTTGGAGCAGCGGCTTCATACAGAGTGGACTGCTTTTGGACCTCTGAGACCTGAGCCTGAGCCTGGACCTCTGAGACCTGAGCTTGGACCTCTGAGACCTGAGCTTGGACCTCTGAGACCTGAGCCTGGACCTCTGAGACCTGAGCCTGGACCTCTGAGACCTGAGCCTGGACCTCTGAGACCTGAGCCTGGACCTCTGAGACCTGAGCCTGAGCCTGGACCTCTGAGACCTGAGCCTGAGCCTGGACCTCTGAGACCTGAGCCTGGACCTCTGAGAACTGAGCCTGAGCCTGGACCTCTGAGAACTGAGCCTGGACCTCTGAGACCTGAGCCTGGACCTCTGAGACCTGAGCCTGAGCCTGGACCTCTGAGGCCTGAGCCTGAGCCTGGACCTCTGAGACCTGAGCCTGAGCCTGGACCTCTGAGACCTGAGCCTGGACCTCTGAGACCTGAGCCTGAGCCTGGACCTCTGAGACCTGAGCCTGGACCTCTGAGACCTGAGCCTGGACCTCTGAGACCTCTGCTGCGGTACAGTATTTGACCCTTTGGGCTGAGAGCTGATTGGCTGAGTGAGGGCGGTCCTCTCTTTCTCACTGTTCTGTCTGAAGCCTCTGCTCTAAAGCTGTGGTGACGGAGACTAAACACACAGGATCTAGAGACATGGCCTTTAAAGTGGACATATCATGTTTTCAAATAATTGATTTTTACATCTAAATCATTAATTTGTGGCCTATCTAAAGCGTAACGGCAATGCCTGGGTCTGAGTCTCATTATCTGTAGCTCCACGGGCCTTTCTTCTACACCTGTTCTGAGGTGCGTCTGAGAGCAACCTGTTTTGGTTCTGTCTCTTTAAATGCAAATGAGGCGCTTTTGACCACGCCCCCATCCAGGTGACACAGGTTAAACTCCACCCCGAGCGGCCATATTTGTAGTTTCTAAGCACAGATACAATTATCTCATAGAAACTTCTCATTACATCGCAAACATGAAGCAGTCCTTCCTCATTGACTGAAAGCAAATGTTTCATTCTTAGTCCAGTCTTATTATCGACTCTTCTCTTTTTAGGGATCCATGCGCACAGTCTATGATGCTCACACGCCGGTTTGACAGACACGTTGACAGAAAATTTTTAATTGAATATTACTTATGCACAATTTTACAGCCTTTAAAAACGTTAAGAACGTTTTTCCTTCTACAGAAGGAAAGAGACGCATGCGCCTCCGGAGCCGCAGGTTGCCGACTCCTGGTTTATAGTATGTGGAAGCAAATACTGTAGAGCAGGGGTGCTCACACTTTTTCAGCATGTGAGCTAAATTGATCAAGTCAAAATGATCTACCTACTACAAAAATGCAAAACATAAATTTATTTCCAAATGTATTGAGGATATTATATCAATAATTTATGTTGATGTACATGCAAAACCGCATGAGCCAATATAGAACAACCCAATACAAATAACTATGTAAATTTTTTGTCATTATCCAAGTTTACTCTGATGACTTGCACTGAATTGAATCAGCCAGGGATGCATAGTCCGGACAGTAGCTGCTGACAGCCAGCCTCAAGCACACTTCCAAATGTTCATCAGTCATGGTGGAACGGTACTTGGACTTAATGATCTTCATGTGGGAAAAGGCTGACTCACATAAATAAGTGGAGCCGAATAATGCAGTCAAGGAGGTAGCACATTTCCTGATGTTGGGGTACTTCACCTCTGTGAGTAAGTTCCAGAACTGTCCATGAGCTCTGGACTTCAGCTCAATGTCGGCTTGCAGTGTCAAAATCTCCTCTTCCACTCCAGAAAAGTTCAGGTGAAATAGTGTTGCAATTTTGGATGCGAGTGATTCAACCTCAGCATCTTCCCGAAAAGGATAGCACATGAATGTAGCAACTGGCTCGATCAAAGAAAAGTCTTGAAAGCGTTTGTCAAACTCTGACTGACAATTGTCAATCTGCTCTGTGTAGCGCGCACTGTCAAGTTGCACACAGGCCTTCCCTTGCATCTCCAGCTCTGACGCCAGGTTCTGGAAGTGTGCCAAATGGCTGTTTTGTCTTTTCCTTGCAGCTCTAGATTAAGCTCATTAAACATGTTGGTCAGATCGGTTAAAAATGCCAAGTCTAACAGCCACTGACCGTCATTTAGTTGCGTGTATTCTGCATGTCCAGCTACACGGAAAAATTCCCTTATCTCTGGACAGAGCTCTCGAAATCGTTGCAGGAATTTCCCTCGACTAAGCCATCTCACGTCAGTGTGCAGCAACAACTCAGAGTGGTCGCAGTCAGCCTTCTCCAGATGTGCACGAAATAACCGTCTTTGAAGAGATCTGGTGCGAATAGAACAGGCGATCTTTGTTGCAACATCCATGATCTCCTTCATGTTGAGCATTTTCGCGCATAACGCTTGTTGGTGGATTATGCAATGGTAATTTAGGATGTCCGGGAAATCATCGTCCTGCCTGCACTTGGCAATAAATCCATTCAAGCGGCCAACCGTTGCGGGAGCTCCATCCGTGGTGATAGACACCAGTTTGTACACTGGGAGCTGAGTTTTCTCCATAAAGTTTTTAAACGAATGAAATATGTCCTCTCCTCGTGTCTGTTCTTTCATGTGCAGTACTGTTAATAGCTCTGGGCTGTGTCACTCACGTCCGTAGATTCGTCCAACTGCAGTGAGAAACACTCGCAGTCTCCGATGTCCTTCCAGAGTTGCTGGGTTAAATCCTCAGCCATGGCTTCACAGCGCCGTGTAACTGTACTTCTTGACAGCTGGAGAGCTTTGATCGAAGATAATATGTCTGCCTTATTTTTAAAGTCTCGAAACAATGAATCAGCTGCTTCAACGAATGCCTCCTTTACCATCTCTCCGTCTTGGAATGACTTTTTTTTATTAACGATCGAAACGATGCTTCGGTGGCAGCTTTCTCTCTTGAAGTTTGTTGTGTGAAAAATGACTGCTGTCCGGACAACTGTGATTTTAGTTCCTTCACCTTTCTCTTTCTCAGCTCGCTTTTTGGTGGGAAGTCGGTGTCGTATTTTCCATGCATAGTCCGAAAATGCCGCTCCACATTTCCCTTCTTTGGTATTGCGATGGTGGACTGGCAGATGAGGCCAACGCTCTGAACTTTTGGATTACTTTCACAGTTGGAATACTTTCCCGTTCCGTTTGGATTACTTTCATTGTTTCATTACGCTTTGGATTTGTCTTTTGAAGTACACGGACTATCACCGGAGCCACGGACTCGTCACCAGGTTTGAAGTGGGGCATACGGTGGGCGCGGGGAGGACTCTGATATATTGTTTATGGTTATGTTTGTTTTTGGACTGAGTAAATGGTGTAGTCATTACGCACAGCAGATCTTTGAGTGGTTGTTTTCTTTGGTCAGCTTTAGATCAATCACAGCGTACATAAAGCGTCAATTACCTCTATTTTATTTTGTAGTGCGCGCTCCGAGGGGCTGAGTTTATCTGACTGGCTGCCTGTTCATCAGTCAAAAGACGCGTTGAATGATAGGCTGGTGTCAATCTTTTTTTATAACACGCGATCTACCAATACTACCTTCGCGATCGACGTATTGAGCACCCCTGCTGTAGAGGATCAGGATATGTGCAGTTTCAACAATAAAATAAAATGCAATAGTCTGCATTAAAGAGAGTAATAAACATGTCTCAGAGTGAGGGAGGTGGACACAGACAACACTATTGTTTGTTACAGGGATGAGAATTGGTCAAAAAAGACTGAAATGCATATTGTCAGCCATTTGCTGGCTCTAAATCTGTTTAATTTGTTCACAACATATTACTTTTGGGCTCAAACATGAACTAACAGAGTTCAAAGAAAAGGAGATCCTCAACACTCCTGTTCTGTCTGTAGCAGCGAGTCACAGACTGAGGGCCACAGACTGAGGGCCACAGACTGAGGGCCACAGACTGAGGGCCACAGACTGAGGGCCACAGACTGAGGGCCACGGACTGAGGGCCACGGACTGAGGGCCACGGACTGAGGGCCACAGACTGAGGGCCACAGACTGAGGGCCACAGACTGAGGGCCACGGACTGAGGGCCACGGACTGAGGGCCACGGACTGAGGGCCACGGACTGAGGGCCACGGACTGAGGGCCACAGACTGAGGGCCACAGACTGAGGGCCACAGACTGAGGGCCACAGACTGAGGGCCACAGACTGAGGGCCACAGACTGAGGGCCACAGACTGAGGGCCACAGACTGAGGGCCACAGACTGAGGGCCACAGACTGAGGGCCAAGTGGCTCAGTGCACAGTTTCAGGACACGAGGAGGGATACCGTCCAGCCCTGTGGCTTTCCGGACTTCACACTTGTATGAATGAATATAGAAGCACAGCTAACCATGTCCCACTTGTATAAATGAACTTACCCCTGTATGAATAATAATAATGGACTGTATGGGTCTGCCCTCACTGATCCTCCTGCAGATGGATGGGTCTGATAAAGCTCTTTTCTGGACTCTCACAGACACTTCACAGAATTTCACTCCAAACACAAATGCCCGAACCCCCTCCACTGGCTTATCTGGAGGAACAGTGGCTCTACTCTGAGCTCCTCCCATGTGATTGAAATCCTCCATCTCCAAGGTGTAAGTCCATAAAAGGCACTTCCTGTAACTGTCTGCATTTGAATCCAGGGATCTCAGGTTAATGATTGTGTTTATGACGTATCCACTTCATAAACACAGGACAGAGGGAGGGGCCCCTTTGTTTGAAAGGGTAGAATAGTCCACATTTCTATGGAGTTAAACACTGTGATGTCATTGTGTAGGAGTCTGGACTGAGCATCGCCTCCACCACCAGCAGGGCGGCGACAGAGAGACTGGGCATGGACAAGAGAAAGCACCGTCCTCGCGCCACCAGCAGGGCGGCGAGAGAGAGACTGAGGATGAAGCAGAGAGAGCACAGTCCTCCCACCACCAGCAGGGCGGCGGCAGAGAGACTGAGGATGGACCAGAGAGAGCACAGTCCTCCCACCACCAGCAGGGCGGCGGCAGAGAGACTGAGGATGGACCAGAGAGAGCACAGTCCTCCCACCACCAGCAGGGCGGCGACAGAGAGACTGAGGATGGACCAGAGAGAGCAGAGTCCTCCCACCACCAGCAGGGCGGCGACAGAGAGACTGAGAATGGACCAGAGAGAGCAGAGTCCTCCCACCACCAACATCGTGGCATCATTTACCAGTGAACGCTCCAAACGTCAAATGATGGACTTTAGAAAGGAAGAATATGAGCGGTAAGTCAGACTGTCAATCATTTATGACTGAGCAGGTCAGGGCCTAGTAGTAGTATCAGGAGCAGCAGCAGTAGTATCAGGAGCAGCAGCAGTAGTATCAGGAGCAGCAGCAGTAGTATCAGGAGCAGCAGCAGTAGTATCAGGAGCAGCAGCAGTAGTATCAGGAGCAGCAGCAGTAGTATCAGGAGCAGCAGCAGTAGTATCAGTAGCAGTAGTATCAGGAGCAGCAGCAGTAGTATCAGGAGCAGTAGTATCAGGAGCAGCAGCAGAAGTATCAGGAGCAGTAGCAGTAGTATCAGGAGCAGCAGTAGTATCAGGAGCAGTAGCAGTAGTATCAGTAGCAGTAGTATCAGGAGCAGTAGCAGTAGTATCAGTAGCAGTAGTATCAGGAGCAGTAGCAGTAGTATCAGGAGCAGCAGCAGTAGTATCAGGAGCAGTAGTATCAGCAGCAGCAGCAGTAGCAGGAGCAGTAGTATCAGGAGCAGTAGCAGTAGCAGTAGCAGTAGTATCAGGAGCAGCAGCAGTAGTATCAGGAGCAGCAGCAGTAGTATCAGGAGCAGTAGTATCAGCAGTAGCAGTAGTATCAGGAGCAGCAGCAGTAGTATCAGGAGCAGTAGCAGTAGTATCAGGAGCAGTAGTATCAGGAGCAGTAGCAGTAGTATCAGGAGCAGTAGTATCAGGAGCAGTAGCAGTAGTATCAGGAGCAGCAGCAGTAGCAGTAGCAGTAGTATCAGCAGCAGCAGCAGTAGCAGTAGTATCAGCAGCAGCAGCAGTAGCAGGAGCAGTAGCAGTAGCAGTAGTATCAGGAGCAGTAGCAGTAGTAGCAGGAGCAGTAGCAGTAGCAGTAGTATCAGGAGCAGTAGCAGTAGTATCAGGAGCAGCAGCAGTAGTATCAGGAGCAGCAGTAGTAGTATCAGGAGCAGCAGCAGTAGTATCAGGAGCAGCAGCAGTAGTATCAGGAGCAGCAGCAGTAGTATCAGGAGCAGCAGCAGTAGTATCAGGAGCAGCAGCAGTAGTATCAGGAGCAGCAGCAGTAGTATCAGTAGCAGTAGTATCAGGAGCAGTAGTATCAGGAGCAGCAGTAGCAGTAGTATCAGGAGCAGTAGCAGTAGTATCAGGAGCAGCAGCAGTAGTATCAGTAGCAGTAGTATCAGGAGCAGTAGTATCAGGAGCAGTAGCAGTAGTATCAGGAGCAGTAGCAGTAGTATCAGGAGCAGTAGCAGTAGTATCAGGAGCAGCAGCAGTAGCATCAGGAGTAGTAGCAGTAGCATCAGGAGTAGTATCAGGAGCAGTAGCAGTAGTATCAGGAGCAGTATCAGGAGCAGCAGCAGTAGTATCAGTAGCAGTAGTATCAGGAGCAGCAGCAGTAGTATCAGGAGCAGTAGTATCAGGAGCAGCAGCAGTAGTATCAGGAGCAGTAGTATCAGGAGCAGAAGCAGTAGTATCAGGAGCAGTAGTATCAGGAGCAGCAGCAGTAGTATCAGGAGCAGCAGCAGTAGTATCAGGAGCAGCAGCAGTAGTATCAGGAGCAG